CGATGTAGCGCGCGATCCTAGGATACTTTTTACCGCGGGAAAATATCTTATTTCTGAGGAAAAATACAAAAACTGCAATGTAAGAGTATACTAATATGTAACACCTAAGAATTTAGTTTTTGGTCATCTGAACGCGGGCGGAGCCGCGGGCAATGCTAGTAATATATATATTTATGTCTGGATTAGAATTATGGCAGCGAGTTACTCATGGTACATTCGAGTACGTTCCCAACTCCCCAGTATCTTATGTTACAGTGTCTCAGTCCGGCAATCCAGCCGGCCGTGACCCCAAGAAACACACTTGGGAGGCGGCCCAACTCGATGAGCGGTGTACAATGTAGATTGCTCCTGGTACTTCTCTAGGAGTGGCCTCAGCAGGCCAGCCGTCGGGGCGTCATGGCTGAGTGCTTAAGTGTTCCTGCGTAAATGCCTTTATCAACGTCATAATCTGGGTTTGTTCTATAATTACACGACGTATGATATTAACATAACATAAAAATGTAAAGATACTTTGATTGGGATCCCTATTCTTTATTTTATTGAGTGTGTGTTATTACAATTCAATAGAAAGAGAAGGCCGAGTGATGGACAGACGGCCTTACAACATTGGCCTATAAGTATTAAATTCAAGTATATCAGCATAATGTACATTTTTAAATAAATAAACTACCATATTTTATTTAATACCATCACATAACAAATAAATTGATTTCTAGAAGCCTTGTGTAATATTATATACATTATAATATCTTTTATCAAGTCCATAAATGATGCGAATATCTAGCGACACCACATATTATATTAAAATCCATCAAACCATTAAGGCTACAGATCGTGTCAAAGAAATAGATAGTAGACATACATATCTACTTACTCTCGAAATACATTACCTAAACAAAAACTTTGATACAAAGAAAATATATAAATTTCCCTAAACAAGGTCGTATTACCAAATCTTTTGTCGGGACCCCTAAACGCGTCCTTGATGTTACAGCTCACCTTTAACGTCATAGACTTTATAAAATAGTTCAATGTTATCGTTAATAGGAAAAACGAAATATTTATAACTAACTATCTTGGTACCGAGAATTTTTAAACCGTATTTTTTATAAAATGTCAGTCGGCGCTACTGACTACTTCACTGGCATATAGATGCAGTTGAGAAGAGCCAGCGTGGCAGCGGGTCACTCAACAACTGCAGCATTCATCATTTACGAGTAAATCCAAATACTGCATTCTTTTATTATATCATTTCACTGTTAAAACTTTTTCATATAAGTCGAACTACTATTATATGTACATATATGCGAAAGTTTGTGTTTGTGTGAGCATATGTTAGTTATTCCTTCACGCTGAAACGACTGGACAGATTTGGATGAAATTTAGAACATAAATAATCTATAATCTTAATTAACACGTAAACTACAGTTTAGCACCCAGAGACGCTTCCGGGCGCAGCATGGGGCCGTGGGTAAGTAGAAATATATAAAATACTTAATTCTTTTACTTATATAAGAGTAACATTTCTGTGAAATGATTTTTTTTGTAGTACTCGTACCTACCTGATGATGTTCTCCTAGCCGATTCCGGCCACGGCGGCCAATCTCAATGAGATTAGCCAACTGCGCAGGAGATATTATAGTGCTCTAGTGTACGCGCAGACACAAGTGCACTCTCTATTCCTATCACTCTCATACTCCGGTGGGACGACCACTCGACACGACCGGTGAGAGTTAAGGCGCAGGACCGACGGCTTTACGTGCTCTCCGAGGCACGGGGGTGAAACACCGCCAACTTCCCAACTCCGGGCTGTTACTGAGACTTACTATACAGGAATACTCAATAACTAAACTTGGCCCGACCCGGGACTCGAACCCAGGACCTCCGGGTGTGCAGCCGTACATGCTAGCCACTTGAGAATGTACCTACTATGTTGGCAATTGTAATCTGCACTAATTCCATTTTAAAGGCTCGTTCACTGCCGTCGTGGGGCATTCCACGTTGAGCTACCAACGGATTTACGTTTATTTTAAGCGTAATATTTACTTATTCTCGTAACGTATACAAGAAAAGTAACAAACGTCTTTTACGTTTGGTTTGAGTGTTATTGTTCGCACAATAATAAATAAGGACTTTGCTCTAAAATTTCAATCTATAATTTGTTTATTACTGTAGTCTATGTGCCTCTGCCTAGTACCTATCTTTGTAGTATGTACAATTGTACATATATAAATCTTAAAGATATACCTAAAAAAATGTATAAAATTACGTACAGTGCACAAATGTTTATTGTAATAACATTAAATAATTTGTCTAAGTCACTGCTTTGCACATTTATTTTACAAACATTTAGACTTTGCGGGAGTCGAATTTGTGACTTACAATACTCATTTATATTGAAGTAAAAATAGAGTATTCTTTTAAATTACTGTTGTATAATTTTACGTAGGCGCAAGTTAATGCATATTTCCGCTGCTAGTCTCATGTTACCTGGCAATTATAAATTTATTTTCAACCGCTGCATCCACTTTTTTACAAGTATCATTGAATATGCTACACGAGGACTGATGACATTGACTTTGTATAAAATAGGAAGGTTACAGGGTTGTTCAGCGGAAAGCACGCGATCTGTCAATTTTCGAGGCTGAATCATTGCATGGCTCAAGGCAGGAGTACCATGAGCGGCGAGGCTAGATTAGATATAACGATAGAGAGAAATATATGCTTTGGTTTACTCGATGTTTCAAATTGTTCGTACATTATATTTTATCGCAAATTAACATCAGTTTAACAAATCTACCTACTGGCCTATATACTCGGCTTCTCGGCAATCATGACAAAGCCCATGGGGATCAAGGTGAGCGGAATAGACAACGCCTGGGTATTTATTTTCAGTTAGTACGTTAGTTTATTTTATTATTATATATCTAAACATGTATAATTTCAGTGACATTTACTGCTTATAAAGAGAAGGGAATGGATACTATCATTTCGATGTATAATTTTGGCGCTAAATTGCCAATTTTTTTTCAATAATTCAAAATTTATGTTTTCTACTGCCCACCTTATTATTCTATAAAACATTATATATTGGCCTAAGAGCCTGTGAACGCCAGATCTTCGTCATTTTATAAAAGCTGAAAGTTTGTCAGCGCATGCTCCTAACACAGATATGAACGATGGACCATTATGAAGTTCAGGCTACGGTGGCTTTGGCAGGTACACGGTACTAAAGGTGTGTAAAGTACCGATCTAAATTCGTCAAATAATAATGTGTGATTTTTTGGTATTACCTTCAGAATATTATTAAAAATCACGTCATTCAATGCTGCCAGACACTTAACATCGTGGCAAACCCTTGCCAGACACCCTTTTCATGAAATCATTATTCTACTTACGTTATAGTATAAAAGCTGTTTTTTATATATAATACTTGGGTAATAACTAGATGATTTATAAGACTGCTAGCATAGCATTTATTACTATTAATAATTAGAAATAATATTAAAAAAACTATCCTTATAGATAAGATAGATGATTCTATAAAAATGGTGACGAAAATTGTATGGGAAACAAAAGTTATCGAATGTTATTTTTATTAAGAGAGCTGAGCAAAGTCGGAACTGGTTGCTATGGCAGGGAATTAGATAAACGTTTTAGATTAATTGTTCGCGTCTTTTGCTTAATAGATAGAACTTTATCCCATTTGTTTGTATTAATTTTTGAGCGTCTTCATAATGTTTTTAAAAGTAGGATAATTTACAATAACCTAAAAATATTATGTAATCATGTACAGTAAAAGAAGTTTTTTTTTAACGTTGGGAAATGCATTTACGCACGAGGTGTGGGACTCACCGGCAAAGCCAGTACTACCCACTAAAACCCAACAAAACCTTCCCCCGTCTTAATGGGGTGTCGCAGGATCGCTTACGCATTCAACTACGACACCCCGACGGCAGGTCTGCCGAAGCAGACCACAACAACCATGGAGTTGCTCCAAAGTCCACTCTGCTATCAGAGAAGTACCAGGAGCAACCCGCATGGTACACCGCCCACCGAAATGGGCCACCTCCCTGTACGTTTTTTTGGCTTCGTGCCCGGTGGATTGCCGGGCACTACTGAGCCCCCCCACCACGACAAGGCGAACGCACGTTGGGGGGGACAGTAAAAGAAGTTAAGGGTGGATGTGCAAGACCAAATTTTGGTATTATTTCTATAACGTATTTAAAATTTCAATGTAAATATGTTTAATATTATACCTTTATTTGTCTATCCTATCCTGTCCTATCTTTTTTCATAATCCAAAAAAATGTTTCCAACTTTATTAGTTTTATAATTTCTCATCCAAATCCGTGTTATCCCTCAAAAAAAAATACAGATATTACCACCAATTAAATATATATTTGTACTAGCAGAACCCGCGGCTTCGCTCGCGCTAAAACTACAAAAAATCTCTAAAATGGTAGGTTTCATACAAACTTTCATCCGCTATTTTACCTCCTTATGGGATGAATTTCGAAAAATCCTAAAACACGTATTTAATTAATTGTATTGAAGAGTATTTATACTAAGTTTGAAGTAATTCTGATCAAAAATATTTTTTTGAATTGTATTACAACTTGTTTTCCTGTGGGAAAGAGATAATCTCCCGCGGTAAAAAGTAGCCTATGTCACTCTCCAGCCCTCCAACTATCTCCACACAAAAAATCACGCCAATCCGCCACTCAGTTTCGACGTGAACAAACAAACAAAACACACTTTTACATTTATAATATTAGTGTGGATTACACACCTATCTATAGATATATAGATCATAGTTATATTTTTTGGTATAATAACTAAAAACATATCTATTATATTTTTAGTAGATATTAATACAAAGTACCTTTAATACACAAATGTATCTCCTGAAAAAAAAACAAAGACAATGTGTAATTGATGAAATTTGACCAGAAAATAAATTAGTTTAGCCTAGACAGCACTGCGCAAACGGAGCAAACATGGACGGAATAACCGATGACGGTCCTAGGATCAATACGAGATACATCTGTAAGGGAGTCTGTCGTTACATATACATAGCCAGCATAGCAGTATAAAAGTAGTCGGTAATAGATACCGACTACTTTTATCCTATTGAAATTATTTCTAGTAACGTTAAAATTTCAAAATTATATACTTACCTACATAATTTATGTAGGATAAATAAAATTAAAGTGTCTGTTTGTAATGTCAAAATAACAGCATTTTACTAAATGCATATGAAATTATATACGTTACTTATAAGAAAGACACAATATTTTATATTTTTGTTTGTCCGTTTGTTCCGGATAATCTCTGAAACGGCTGGACTGATTTTGACGGGACTTTCACTGGAAGATATCTGATGTTATGGGGAGTAACATAGGCTACTTTTATTTTAGAAAAAGAATTAGGGTTCCGCTCAAAAAAATTAAAACGTACCTAGGGATGAACCCGAGCGAAGCGAGTTAAATTTGTAAAAGTATATATTAATAGTGTTGCTTAGTAAATTGTTTTTAAATAATAGCAAACTAAATTAAAATTATTATCCTTAATTAATTTTAATTTTTAAATTACACATAGAACAATTATATGGCTTAAATAATTAATACTATATTTTATATTTTTTCTTTATGGTTATAAATATAATAATGGCAACACTAAATATATATTACTAATTAATATTTTTAAAATTGTAATAATTATAAAAATAATAGCAAAAATTAAATAAATAATTTTCCATATTCAATTATAATTAAAATTATAAAAATGTTTAAAGTTAAAAAATATTGTAATGTGATTGGTGCAATTTTCATTTTGTTAATTGTGGGTAGGCTGTCTGTAACAACTATACCTTTAAGACATGTAACACCTCAGTCTCTCCCGTGACCATGGATGCTGTAAAGCATTCGAAACATCGGAAACCAAAAATCAAAATAAATTCGCGAAATAATCCGAAAAGATAGTTTTATTTAATAAAAAAAAATATACGTGTCAAATTGAGAACCTCCTCTTTTTTTCGTCGAATAAAAAGAAACAGTTGATTTTCGTTTAAATATTATTATATCGATGGTTTGAAATAAACAGTCAAAGTAACCAATTACGTCGAATTTACTTTACATAAAAAAGGGCAATTTTTTTTTCGGTTCTTACTAATGAAAATTGGAAATAAGTAATTCAGTAGTAGGTATTTTTAGGCATGACTTTAGACTCGAAACTCCAGTGGAATCCACATCTCGCAATAGTTACGGGTAAACTCAGCTGTGCCACCTAAACAGTCAGAAAATAGCTAAAGGACGTCAATACTGCCATATTTGCATTTTTGAAATTATTTTCATAGTATCTTACGGGGTTAAGGTCTTGAATTAATTCAATATTTTTTTAAATCAAAGCTGGGCTGCGATTTAGGATTGGGGACTCTGCCCCTAGCGGAGTGGGTGGTATTTCTGGATAAGGGACGTGATAGGAAGTCGAAATGTTAAATAAAAATTGTCCGCGAACATATGAGTAAAAATTTATTGAGACTTAAAGTTACAACATTTCCATACATTATTTTGACATTACTACCATTTAGACACTTGGAGTCAAAACGTCACTTTCAATTGTCAAAATAATCTCCAGATGATTGTCTTTATTTGTACTTTGCGTGAAATTCGAATTTTCTAGTTTTCTAGTCATTTATGGCACTCGCCGGCCGCTACCGCGGCACGCTCGCTTCGCTCGCTCGGCTCGTGCGTTGTGGCAACTGTTCTAACCTAACCTAACCAAGATATGAGGAATAATAAATAAATAATCTTAAATGTTCTAACCTAACCTAACCCAGATATGAGGAATAATAAATAAATAATCTTAAATGTTCTAACCTAACCTAACCAAGATATGACGAATAATAAATAAATAACCTATGTCTTAAACTAACCACGATGTCGCAAAATAAAAACCAAAAGTAAATAATACATTTAGATTTTAAAAATAGTCTACTCACGTTTATAAATTGTTTACACTAACACTATGAACACTTAAAACTATAAAAATAATATTAAAACAAAAACAAGAAACGAAAGTATATAAAAATTAACAAAAACTAATAACTAATGGAAAATACACAGAGTACAGAGTCACAAATTATGAAACTTCGCGGTATTTTAAGAACACCCGCCAATAATACTGAAAAATATTCACAGATAAAAAAATGTTTTTTTTTTACTAAATGTACAATTGTAAAACAATATATTTTACATAAATCAGATAAAAAATCATAAAAGTATTTATGAAATGAAAATAATATTTTTCTTTTTATTTATTTATTTATTAATATTAATATTTTACCAACAGAAAAAGCAAAAATAATCAAATATAATCTGTTGTCATTTAAGCGGTAATATAAAACAAAGTGTCAGTTTTGCTTTTGTCAAAATGTAAGATCGTTTTGTTTGTGTTGTGAAATTATTAAAATATTAAATACAATAAAGCATTAATTGTTGTGAAAATGTGTAATGTACATAAAAAAGGATGCGTACTATTCGTTAAAGGTATGTTTATCTGTTGTAATCACTTATTTAGGTAAAGAAATGTATGGAAATGTGTTAGATATGTTATAACTTGTAAGTCTCAATAACTTTTTACTCGTACGTTTCCTCCAAATATTTTTAATATATTTTGACTCTCTGTCACCTCCCCTATCTAAAAATACCACCCACTCCGAATGGTGGTAAAGAAATATATGAAAATGTATGGAAATGTTGTAACTTTAAGTCTCAATAACTTTTTACTCATACGTTCGCGGACAATTTTTATTTAACATTTCGACTCCCTATCACGTCCCTTATCCAGAAATACCACCCACTCCGCTAGGGGCAAAGTCCCCAATCCTGAATTTGTGCCCAAAGCTGTGCACGTGCAGGCATTTAAACAGTGTCAACATGTGTAATTTTATTCAGGTGTATCAAATCAAGGATAAATTAAGTGTGAATTTACCCATCACATAGTCAAACAATTTCAAAATTTTTCTTCTATATAACTAGTAGTTCTGTGAGCAGTAGACCTCGCGAGCACAAACTGTATTTTGAGGAGTTATTTGCACATTACTCCGGAGATCCTCATCAGATATTCACCAAATTTATAAGAGACCAACTTCAATTTACTACCTCTTAAATAAGAAAGAACCGTCGAAATCGGATCTCATAAGGTAGCCTCTTCTTGCCTCTTTTTGGAGGAAGTACCTACTCCTCCAATCATAATCCCCGACGAAAAAAAAATCTGTAAAGTCGTAAAACCTGTATACCAAGTTTCGTCCAAATCGGTTGCAAAATACGACCTGTAGAGGAATACCAACAAATTGACAGATGAAAGCTTTGCTTGAGGCAGAGACGCTTCGCTCACTTCACTCGCTCGGTCAAATATTTTCATAATAATATATTATGTAACGTCAATCCTTGTGACAACCATTTCTTTGGTAAAAATATTTTGATTAAGATCAAAACTTAGCAAAAGCAGTTCAGGAATGTAGAATAAATAAAGGTCAAGTTCGTAGAGGGGCGGCGGTGGCGGTGGCGCGGTGGTGCGGCGGTGGCTCACGCTCCGCCGCGTGGCGCAAGGCCGCTGAACATCAAAGCCTTCGATCACTGCAAATTATCCCCTCCGTCGAACAGAGGTTCTGCCCGTTCTCGCACATTAATAATCAGAAATAACTAAACATATTATTATATAAAAATCCACAGATCTCGTGTCTGCCACGACCTTAAAGTACATTGAAAATGAATCTGCCAAATGAACTGAATTAAATTTTTAACATATTAATTACTAGCAGAACAACCTATTTTGCCCACGTTCAGACTACAAAAAAGTATTTGGATGCATAAAGATATTATGTATATTGTATACATATAATAAAACTCTAGAGGACGAATGTCTGTACATAGAAAATATATGCTAAAAATCGAGTCAGGGGGATGTAAGAAGAGAAATAGAACAAATACAGATTTCTTTTTTTTTGTTTCTCTGTTTGTCTGTTTGTACGGATTACTCTCCGAAAATGGACCGATTTAAATGAAATTTTGCATGGTGGTACCTTATATCCACGGTCAACATTTTAGATACTTTTCATCCTGGAAAATTAAAAAGTTCCCATAGGATAATTAAAAATCTATAGTAAGTTATACAGCTTAGTACACAAAAACTATTGATAGGATTTTAATGAAACTGTATTAGTTCATACATCAGAAAAAGAAATAGGCTACTTTTTATCCCGGAAAAATGTACGGAAAAAGGTACGGTAGTTAAACAAACTGACAGTTACACTTACTGACAGTTAAAAAAACTAACCTTCAAACTTACTGGTAATTAAATTAATTGACAGTTAAACAAACAAACAGTTAAAGAACCAGTTACACAAACAAACAAATAAATAAATATATAATATAAATGTTTGTTTGTTTTTGAAAGAGAAAAGAGGGAGGAGAGGAGCGGAAAGGGTATGAGGGGAGAGGAGAGGAGAAGACAGGCGAATAAGACAAGCGCAGTAGACCGGCGAAGAAGATTTGCTAAAAAGAACTACAATAGACAGGCCAAATCTCAACAACAGGCTCCTCTCTTCTCTCTCCACTCTTCTCCTCTCCCTTTTCTTTTATTTTCCTGCAGTAAAAGATATCTTAATAACCCGAGTAATAAGTTATCAGTACACAATATTTAGCTAAAATCGGTTTAGTACTTTTTTCGTGAAACGCGCACACCCGAACAGACAAACAGATATACAGAAAACAGACATCCAGACACCCAGACAAAAATTTTCATAATCATTGTTTTGGGGTCTATAGGACACAATACGTTATAATCATTGTTAAGAAAAAATATTTCACGTATAAATTTTGATTAGTTACTGTTTTATTATATGTATAAATATTAGTTAGTTATTAATTTAAATACATATTTATTCACAAAGAATCACTTCGGTTCAAAAACATAATCATGCTGGAAAACATTTGTTCACCGTCATTATCGCGCTCACGCACTCTCCTCGCGTAAACTCAGCGTCACAAAGGTGAAACTTCTGAATAACCCATCAGTGATATGCACCTCCAATATTTTTTAAATGTAGTCCGAAGTCATATCTCTAGGGATTTTTTTAATTTTTTTCGATATCTTATTCGAGATATGATTTTTTTCTGACCGAAACCGAGCGAAAAGCGACCGCATTTTTCACATTTTTTTCGATTTAAAAAAAAGCCTTTGAGTGTTTTCAAATTTTTTTTGCATTTTCTAGCCCTCATTCAGACGCATCTTTTAACATCCCAATCAACCACGTAGTCCCAAAATCCACGACACCAGGGCGATGTCGCATTTTCGCTGAAAATCGGGCCTATACTAAAGCGACAAAAACATTTTCAATGTTTAAAGCCAAACATGTTATTTTATGTCATTTCTCAAGTCAAGCTTTATCATTTTAAAACTTCATTATCAATATTAAGCAGTTAAGTATAGATAGGTATTACGTATAGTTAAGTATAGTACCTACGTATGTTATGGTATGTTTTACTATAATTCAAGTAGAAATATTAAAAACTCTAGCTTCTTGATTGGACATATTAAAGGTTTAAATCTGGTAATATTTTGAATGTCGCAAATAAACTTGCTTGCCTACAAGCTTTGGCTCGTAGACTAGCTCTAAATTAAGTCTATTGTAAGGTTAATTATCTTCTCATTTCGCTTGACTAATCCAATTTGTATACTATTTAGAGTCTATGTAGACGAATGGTACTAATATTTTCAATTTATCCATTGTTTTAATTAGTTTTCAGTAAACAAAAATAAATTTCTAAAGCGCAATAAAATAAGAAATGTCTGAATAACATAGTCTCAGATGCTTCCGAAATGTTCCTTAAACGGTTTTCGGTCGTTCATTTCCTAATAAATAACTTCCAATTTAAAGAAGACGGCATCCTAAAAAAACAACGCTTCGTAATAAACATTCAGATTATCCATTTGCCAAACAAATAAATCCAATCTTGCAAGCAATCAGTTTATCTACAAAAATCGAACTTCATTGTATTTTAAAAGTACACGATTCATAGAAAAGGTAAAATGTCACCTATTTTCAAAATACTAATGTAATAAATTATATTAAATAAATAAATCTAAGAAAGTGATAACGAATAAGTATTATGTAATAAATTTATACAGAATTTTTCTTCCTTATAAAGAGCTAGTTAGTTATGACCACGCAGTTTCTAGCTCTAACTATCTAAGCACAAGCATACCTTTAAAATTGGTAATTGTCTTAATTTACCACACAAGAAATATTTCTTTTCGGTTTTCCTATAATTAAATGTAGCCCGAGGCAGAGTAGGTACTTACCGAACTACAATAATACGAAATTATATAAAAATCTACATTTACATACATTTGTTATTTGACTCTCTTTCCCTTCAAAGGACAATATCACTAAGTTGGACCCAACATTAAACCCTTTCAGCTTAAAATATTAATACATACTTTTGATAATTTTAAATAATTCCAATTTCTTGAGATTCCCCCGAGTCCCAACACGCTTGTTACATTTCGTCACGCTAAGCAAAAACAATACCCCTAGTTCCCGTCTATTCTCGAATGTATTTTATAAATGGCCCCAAAACATTTTCAATTTGTAAAAGTATTGTAGTAAGTAACTAAGAAACATAATTGAGGGAAGTCATATCCATGCAGTAATACCCATACTATCCATATTATTATTATAAATGTGAAAGTGTGTATTATTTTTTTTATTTAGGTACAGAAACAGAAAACAAATTAAAAAAAATTACATCTTCGTATTAAAAACTAAAAATATCATATAAAATTTGTTGTCCAATTATATCTGTACACAACATTCAAATAAAAACATAAAATAATTATATAAACAAACTCAACCAGAAGGTGAATATTATAGTACGAGTCTGTGCATTTAAAGTTACGAGTACATAAGAAATATTAAAAAACAAAAAGAAAATAATATTTACATTTCATGTGGAAAAAAAGACAAAGAAAAGAAAAAAAGATAAAAAGTATTTGTTTGTTTGTCCATCTTTCACGTCGAAACGGAGTTACGGATTGGCGTAATTTTTGTGTATAGATAGTTGGAGGGCTGGAGAGTAACATAGGTTACTTTTTATCACGAAGATTATCTCATGCCCACGGGAAAACACGTTATAATTTACAACCCAAAAAATTATTTATGATCAGAATTACTTGAAACTTGGTATTTATACTCTGCAATACAATTAAATAAATACGTGTTTTAGCATTTTTTGAAATTCATCAAAATAGGGGATGAAAGTTTGTATGAAACCTATGTTTTTAGTTATTTTTGTAGTTTTAGCGCGAGAAAAGCCGTTTTGCTAGTATTGAAATATATTTGAGTTCAACTGTTTATCTTCAGATTGATCGTTAGACCTTGACGTTCAAACCTTGAGGCGGGGGTGCCATTACGAAAAGTAATAACTACGAATTACAGATATGGCTAGAATGAATCATATTTCAGTAATGACCATCCATAAAGTTATTCCATTTATAGTATCCAGTAAAAATCACACGAAGTTTTTTTTTCTGTATCTAAATACTTTACTTGCTTACTAAGACCCAAAACACACAGCTTTTAGAAGATAAGAAAAATATTGTAGTAAGTTAGGCTGTAAGCTTAGTAAGTACCTACTTTCAACCTTTTGGTTACAAGTAAGAAACCTTAGAAATGCATAGAATAATTTGTATTTAAAGTTCCTAACACCGATGACAAAATGGGAACCCCATGCCATGATTGTCATCTTTTGTAATGTTAAACTAAAAAATACATATATATCTTCTATATATTCATTTTTTACATGCGATGACGTTTTTGTATCAAAAATGGAGTAGCCCTAAGGAAATTTTGGGAAGTAATTTTACTGACTTTCTCATGCTCCAAAAATCACTATTTCATTATTAAATCTCACCCCATAAATAGGTTTGTGTTTGACAAAGCTTTCAATCCTTCAACCTACTTAACGTACAGATACTCAAATAATATGATATAGGTATATTTTAATTTAAAAGTAATTATCACGCCTTCGATAGCGCAGTTGTTAGAGCGGTGAACTGTAGAGTGTATAATAATAATAATTCATATTAGAAAAGTTGATATCCATATGTCGCTGGTTCAAATCCGACTCGAAGGATTTTTTATAGAACAATGTATTACAACAACAAAATTGAAATAACACTGTAAGTATACTTTATTTTTCTTTTTGTTTCAGTTCAAACTATTACAATGTGGATAACTGTAAACTACAGAAATAGGTATCTCGCACAATAAGTACGCACTCCAGTCCGACGGCCGAGCCACAAATGCAACGAACATTTTATACTACTGCGAGAGCTTATTCTGTTCACAATGTTTCGAGACCAACGCTCTCTAGGCCAGCTTCCCACGAGGACTATTCATGGGAAGAAAAAACAATGCTACCCTTTCCTATGGTGTGAAAATATAAAGTAAAAAACCTTCTTCACTTTTGAAATGAATGAAATCTCTCTGAATAAATGAATTCAGTTTTACATTACTTTCGTCCTTTTGTCCTTAAATACCTTCCAGGTATATTAGATAGTAGGTACTCAGGTTGGTTTCAGTTGTTTCTTTTTATAAAATCACGATTTTTCAACCACTCCTCGCATGGTACTTCCA